GAGAGAGAGAGAGAGAGAGAGAGAGAGAGAGAGAGAGAGTTCTTCTTCTTCCTCTTCTAAGTCCACCATCTCTCCCTCACCCTCTCGCTACCTAACTTCTCAGTATCTTCAGACTACGAGAGAGAGGGAGATTGGTGACTTTGGGACTTGATGACATTTGGATCCAGACTCGACATTGGGATTCAGACATTTGACGAGGGATTATTTGGGACCTGTACCAAAGACTTGGTGTTGACAACACTCCCATCTTCCCCTCTTCTTCGTCTAACCCCCCCTCTTCTTCGTCTGTGTATGGTTGGGGACTGGTGCATTCTTCCTGTGTGAATGCCAGGCCCCTTCACACCATTGAATGATGATGATGTATGTTTGGTCTGCATTGCAACATTGGTTGGGCCGATTATTGGTATTTAAGCCTTCCGCTGCGCTATCTTGTACTATGTGAGAGGTGTCGGTTCTTTTTCTGGTCTGCACCTTTACGGTATGCGACACAGGGACATTTATGTCTTGGTTGATCCGAAAAAGGAGGCCAATCTCAAGTGGAATAGCCACAATGCAGAACCTTAAACCCCCTGTACCTTTCACATATGTTGGTCGCGGGCAGTTTCGGAGGCTTGGAATGAAAAACGGGTCGCAGATTCGCTTTATCGACCACGGACCTCCCACTCTTGGCCCCCGTGGGCCCGTGTTACCCGGCGCATCTCGCAAAATAGCTGGGAAATGTACTGGTGGTTCAAAGCCAGTGAATACTAGCCAGAAGAGGATCTGTATACGTGCCTGAGCGCCCTGCTTTGGAAAAAACGTTCCTTCATGACATGCCTTCAGAAAACTATTGAACTGGGACTTTATGACATGGCAGCGTTTGTAATTTGTGCACTTATGGAAGCGGTGGAAGCATTATATGGCCAAAACAGGAAGTGGGCTAATCCGTACTGTGCGGACTTGGAACTGGACCTCTGATCCATCAATATAAATGGTCTTGCAAATCATTAACCTGGATAAGATCCAGGCCCTTTGGGACCAGCTACGGGGAGAAGTGGGGGGGGGGGGAAGAGGAGGGGGGGGGGGTGCGCACCTGGCCCGATGTCATATGCATACAAGCGACACTATATCATGGATAAACCGGAGCACATTCGGCCACATAATGCAGCATGACCGTGTCAGTCACTCAGGGCCCATGCACAGGGAGCCGGAACTGCAGGAGTGGCCATCTGGCTCCCCCCGGATTCCCGGGTGGAGGTTCTATTTTTATTTTTTTTTAAAAGGAAAACAAAACAAAACTTTGTTGTATGTATGCCACTTAGCGAGGTGATAAGAGCATCGTCGTTAAGTGGGGCTGGATGGAAGGCTCCATCTATTTGTGGGGAGCAAGACCTGCTGAATAATCGGGTCCAGCGTCCCAGAAAAGTACGAGGATGGTATAGTTTCTTATGGTCCCAGTTTGTTGTCAGGGCTGGGACTTCAGTCTAGTGAATCTAGTGAGTCCCTTCCCCTGTTATCCTTTATTTCCCCATGACAACACTTTGTCCCACCAGTATCTCGTGTCTTTCCGATCTGAGTTATATAGTCCTGATAGTCAGAGTAATGGCCAGTAAGTCATGTCTTGCCAAGTTACAGTCTTGGCAGTCTGAGCCATGGAAATAGTTACTGTTTGGAGTGTTTGAGACCGGGCACAGGTAGCGTGGAGTATGCTGTGTCCTCCTCCCGTTTACGACCTGCAGCGATGACCTGCTGCCGACTTGAAGTTGTTCTTACTCTTCCCTGAGCATTGCGCTTGCAGTTTTTGTGGTCGCTGTTCCTCCTTTTCTGATGTTACCATTGGCTATTTGTACTTGATGCTGCTCTGCTGTTGCCCCCTTTGGGCTGATATTGCTTCGCATCAAGCATTTGACTTTTGCTGAGATTGCAGCTGCCGTGTTCCCTTCTCAGCCTGGCCAGGGCTTGGGCTTGGAGTGTCTGTCCATGGGTGTTATACTCTGTCAGCAGAGATGTGGTGGAAGGGTCAATGGCATGGGTGTGCTGATTGCTCAGGTGAGTTGAGAGGTGGTGGCGGGGTCATTGGTGGGGTCATGTCTGGGAGTGGGGGCGAGAGTAGAGAGTGGACGGGTCCAGGGGTTGGGACAGGATTACTGGGTGCGGTGTGCGGGTCCCACCGCGAGGGGTCTACTGGGAGGAACTGCTCAGTGGGCCATGGGGGGATGAGTGGGCGTGCACTGTACGGCACCGGGGGATTTGACGATGGGTTGGAAGGAGTGAGGTGCTCAGTGTGGGGCGGGGTGGACTCAGTGGGAGGCGGGGGGAATTTTGCGGGTGTAGAGTCTGGTAGAGGGGCTCCAATGTGTGGTGTGTGAGAGGGTTATGGTGGTCTGACGTTTGGGAGGCCAACGAAACGGAGGGTAGGTGGGTATCCATTTTGGCAATGCTGGAGTTGGAGGGAATCAGCATCTTTTGTGTGAACACCCTCAACTCAATGCACGAGCGATAGGCCTTTTTG